AAAAAAAAAAAAAAAAAAAACCAATCAACATTTCTCTCAAATGTACAATTTTTGTAATTATTATGCTTTCTGGTATGTATTTCTTAGCACATTTAATCCAGCAGTCCTCATCAATTAGAATTTTCTAAAAATAAAGACACTTAAACCTCCTACCACTCCTATCCTGAAGTAAGAAATGTAAAGGTACAAATTTAGAGTATTGTTGCCTCTGCATAAAAAAACCAAATCAGAGGCTGAGAAGAGTCGCTCATTGACTGTTGAGATACTTAGTTTCAGTTATTTTTCCCTAAAAAGTTATATATAGTTACTAATCCAGTAGCAATGAACACCCTTAGCACCCAGATTATGATTTCTAAATACTGTTTCCCAGTACTGTGAACCAGTGCTTCATGAAGAAATTATTGACTCCAGAGCTGGAACTGGAAAATGTACATGATTTTACCAAAAATTACCAAGATTACCAAAAACAAGGGAGCTGTCAGAGACCACTAGGCTTCTGTCAAAAGATCTCAGGACCAGGACTAGCTCATTAGTTTGAAAACTGGTAAATAATCAATTCTTTAAGCAGCGTTTCTTCTATGGAATGTATTTCAGCATAACCAAATCACTGATGAAGGAAAGTTTGTCTTTCGTTTCTGGGTTTTTTTGGATTTTTTTTTTTTTTTTTTTTTTTTTTTTTTTTTTTTTGAACCTCGCTCTGTTGCCAGGCTGGAGTGCAGTGGCGCAATCTTGGCTCACCGCAACCTCTGCCTCATGGGTTCAAGCAATTCTGCCTCAGCCTCCCCTGTAGCTGGGACTACAGGCGCGTGCCACCAGGCGCAGCTAACTTTTGTATTTTTAGTAGAGACGGGGTTTCACCATGTTGGCCAGGAGAGTCTCGAACTCTTGACCTCACGATCCGCCCATGTTGGCCCCTGAAAGTGCTGGCGTTATAGGCATGAGCTAAGGCGTCTGGCCTGTTCGTTTGTTTGTAGAGACAGGGTCTTACTCTTGCCCAGGGTGGAGGGCAGTGGCAGTTGGCCCTCTTCTGCCTGGAACTCCTGGGCTCAAGCAGTTCTCCTGTCTCATCCTCCCGAGTAGCTTGGGACTACAGGCTCACACCATCATGCCTTGATAATGTTTAAATTTTTTGTAGAGATGAGGCCTCCCATTGTTGCACAGGCTGGTCTCCAACTCACCGGCTCAAGCAGTTCTCCTGCTTTGGCCTCCCAAAGTGCTGATACTGTAGGCATGAGCCACCATGCCTGCCAGAAAGTTTTTCTTTAAGTTTTCTAGCTAAAAAATGAAGAAGGAATGATTGAATTGTAGTATCGCTATTTTACAGTTTCTAATAAAATAAGCAATCTAGACCACAATGAGCAATCACTGGTAACATTCCAGAAAAAGACAATTGGCTATCTTGTGTCTCCTAATAGAAGTAGGTATGACCTATGAAGCATTGTTGCCCAGAATTAAAAACTCAAATCTTGTCAAGCCACTGGATCTGACATGTGGTTTACAAGAACAGAAGGTAGAATAACATGTTAAATGATCCATGGAGAAGCAGTCAACACAATCTGGGTACAGAAAACTATCTATACAAGTGATGCCATTTCTTCAGATAGAGCACAAGCAGGAAGAAGGAGAGGGAACATATGTCACCAATTCTCAGTGTAGATGTGGCATTGGTTCCAGGACCACCCATGCATACCCAGTTCCACAGATACTGAATTCCTACAGTAAATCCTGCAGAAGCCACATGTATGAAAAGTCATATGTGCAGTTTTCTGTATCCTGTGATGAATACTATGTTTTCTGTCAGCGTTTGGTAGAAAAAAATCCGTGGATAAGTGAACCCACACAACAAAAATTTATGTTGTTTAAAGGTCAACTGTAGATTAAAAGACTTGAAGTCAACTGAACGCATTAATGAACTGCATTTGAATCAACCAACTTATAAAAAAATAGTTTGGAAATAATCAGTGACATTTGAATATTGACTATCTGATGTTAAGAAATTATTGTGGGGTTTTTTTTTGGTATAAAGATTTTTAAGAGTCTACATCTTTTAGTGAAATACTGAAATGTATTGCTTTTAAAATATATCTCAGTTTAGCTTCAGAATAATCTAATGGGGTTGACTGTAGCAAAGAATCCGTAAGATACAGCTTGGTGATAGGTGCGTGGACATTCATGGTTTTGGTTTAATTCGTGTTTGAAATTTTCCATGATAAAAAAATATTTTTTAACAAGTTTTACAACTCAATTCTCCATATGTAATGAAAACTGACTTTCATTACTTTCTTGTAGCCTTACCCCTCGTGAATTCAACTCTTACGGAGCTCGAAGAGGTAATGATGCTGTAATGACAAGAGGCACTTTTGCAAATATCAAGCTTTTTAATAAGTTTATTGGAAAACCAGCTCCCAAAACAATTCATTTTCCATCAGGACAGACGGTGAGGATGTACACAAAGTATTTAGACAGTTTCTAACTGGATCAAAATTTGTATTAAAGATTTTTTTGTTTGTTTTAATCTACAGCTAGATGTATTTGAGGCTGCAGAGCTGTACCAGAAAGAAGGTATCCCACTGATTATTTTAGCAGGAAAGAAGTATGGTTCCGGAAACTCTAGAGACTGGGCTGCCAAAGGACCATATTTACTGGTATTAAATCTTAACATTTATCATTTTAAGCTTCAAAGAATGTTAAATGTTCCCTTTTGTCAGTAACATCCTGTCAAAGCTTACTTGGATTTGGATTTTTTATAGTTATTTAAACCTTATAGGTATAGAGTTTCTTTTTTGTGTGTGTGATCTTAGGTAATATTTTGTACTAATCTAGTTAGTATCATTTTAATACTCTGAGTTTAGTTAAACCTACATCAGTCTTAATGAAGAAGTCAGTATAGTAGAAGGAAAGGAAATTCTGGTTTGGTTTGGTTTTTTTGAGATGGAATCTCGCTCCGTTACCCAGGCTGGCATGCAGTGGCATGACCTCAGCTCACTGTAACCTCTGCCTCCCAGGTTCAAGTGATTCTCCTGCCTCAGCCTCCTGAGTAGCTGGGATTACAGCTGCTTGCCACCACGCCTGGCTAATTTTTGTATTTTTAGTAGAGAAAGGGTTTTACCGTGTTGGTCAGGCTGGTCTTGAACTCCTGACCTCATGATCCGACCGCCTCAGCCTCCCAAAATACTGAGATTACAGGTGTGAGCCACCACGCTCAGCAGAAATTGTTTTAAACTATTGTTTTATAGTAATTATTTATACCTATTGATCATATTTTTTTTGGTTTTGAGACTGGGTCTCTGTCACCCAGACTGAGTGTGGGGGCTCGATCACTGCCACTGCCGTCATGACTCCCAAGTGCATCAGTTCTCCCACCTTAGCCTCCCGAGTACCTGGAATTACAGCCATCAGTCACCACACCTGGCCAGTTTGTGTATTATTTGTAGAGATGGGATCTCCCTGTGTTGCTCAGGCTGGTATTGAACTCCTTGATCCTCCCACTGCAGCCTCCCAAGGTGCTGGGATTACAGGCTTTAGCCACTGTGCCTGGTCCCCACTGTTAGTTTTACTTGCCTTCTTTTGATTTAATTTTCCCCAGTTTGCCCCATCGGCACATAAGAGACTCAGAAGTAGTGGGCCAAGTTTCACCTTTTTTTCCCCCTAAATAGGAGATTGTGGTGCCTGGCTGTCTGCCAGGAGAACAGTTCTCCTGAGGCTGTTTCCTTGTTGCAGAGCAAATAGGCCATCTGCTGGGAAGAATAGTCATGTGACATGTGCTTTCTGCTATTTCATACTCACAAAGTGCTTCTTTACAATTGTAGTTGTAAAAAGGCTGGCTGCAACACAGATATCATGCAGACCTCATTCTTATTTTAATCTGTAATTTCTCCTTTAAAATGTAAATACTCTGAGGGGTATGGGAATAAACCAAAATCTCATCCTTCCAATATACTAATTACAAGTATTATTTATGAGTATTAATGGTAGGTATAGGTTCCTTTTATCCTGGAAATTGTCTTAGTCTTTGTTTCTGATGTTGGAAGCTTTCCGCATATGGCAGGTGATGCGTGGCTGTCCATTTGTTAGACATTCAAAAAACTGATTACAAGCTGTGGATGGGAGCTGGATTTGTCAGTGGACCTTACTGTAGGAGGTGATTGGTAGATAAGCCACCTTTTTCATTAAGAGATTCTGTATGTCATTATCTGTATTTTCTCTGAGGCCGTTCAGCTTCTTCAAGGAGAGAAACTCATTCAGGATGTAGACTTCTACTTAGTCCTCTGTTTTCAGTCTTGTATTCTCAAGCTTCCCCTGTGCCCAGTGATTGTCAGTCTAGAGAATGTACTCTCTTCGTTATTTCTGCTATCAGAAAAAATAAGTAAAAAAAAAAAAAATTTAAAAAGGGGTGATGGCACTCCCAAGGAATAAAAGTCGATTCTTAGGTGGTAAAAAAAAGTTTTACTTTTTACATATAAAGTACAGGCAAATATAGAGTACATAAAAAGATACACGGCATCTTAGTGGTATTAAAATTTTGGAGAGAAGAGGGGTGAACAGGAAGACACAATTATGGAAAAAAGTCTGAAAAGGCTTTTTAGGTAGACAGTGGAGAAAAAAGTTGAAAAACAGAAATCTAGAGCCTTTGGCTCATTTTTTCCAGAGAATAAACCTCTATTCTTCTGGAGTGGGAATTGAGCTGGATCTTACTGCTTTATGTGGCCTTATAACCTGTATCCCCCAGTATTCTGAGAACCTCCTACCTCTGAGTTTCAGTCCTTTTCCTGGGTCCTGTGTTGCACATTAACTCAGACCTTATTGGCGTCACTCCCTAATTTCATTTCATCATTCTCTAGTTTCAACACTGTAATCCAAATCAGTTACCTATCTCTGTCTTCTAAATATTCATAGAATTCATTCTGTTCCCTTTGTTGCTCTGGGCTTATAGCCTCTTTATTATTATTGTTATTTATTTATATATTTTGGAGACATGGTCTCATTCTGTTGCCCAGGCTGGAATGCAAGGCTGGAATGCAATGGCATGATCTCACCTCCCTGCAGCCTCCACCTACCAAGCTCAAGCAATTCTCCTGCCTCAGCCTTCCCAGTAACTGGGATTATAGATTATTTTTCTGAATTTCTGAATTTTTATGGAGCTCCCTAAATTATTTTGACACACCCCCCCCCCACCGCCGCCACCACGTCCAGCTAATTTTTGTGTTTTTAGTAGAGACTGGGTTTCACCATGTTGGCCAGGCTAGTTTCAAACTCCTGGCCTCAAGTGATCTGCCTACCTTGGCCTTCCAAAGTGCTGGGATTGCAGGTATGACACACTGCATCTAGCCTATTCTTGTTATTTTTTATTTTATTTATTTATTTATTTCTATTTTTTTGTAGAGACAGGGTCTCAGTATATTTCCCAGGCTGATCTCAAACTCCCAGCCTCAGCCTCCAAAGTGTTGGGATTATAACCATATAAGCCACTGCACCTGGCCCCATATACCTTCTTTATTTGTTTATTTCAGTTTCATTTCAAGAGTGTTGAATGTTTGATCTGCTGTGTTTAAGTCCTATTTTGGGATCAAAGGAGCCGGCCCATTTATAGAGCTCTTATGATGTGGTAAGCAGCGGTAGTACCTAATCCTAGAGCAGCGGAGGGGGTCAGAATAATTTAGGGCGCTCCATAAAAATTCAGAAATTCAGAAAAATCTATAAAAAGCCTCTGTAAATACTTTGATAGAACATTGATTCACTATGAGGTATTAGACTAAAAGTGTTTAGAGAAAGGCCAGAGTAGATTTTTCTCCCCCTTTAAATGTTCAGTAAATAACTTTCAGAAGGAAAGTTATGAAGGAAATAAATTGCACATTTGTTACAGGGTGTGAAAGCTGTTTTGGCTGAAAGTTATGAAAAAATACACAAAGATCATTTGATTGGAATTGGCATAGCTCCACTTCAGTTCCTTCCAGGAGAAAACGCAGATTCCTTGGGCCTCTCCGGTAGAGAAACATTTTCTTTAACATTTCCTGAAGAACTGGCTCCCGGAATTACATTGAATATACAGGTATCTCTAAAATTTTCAAATATGATTATGCACTCTACTCAGATGTTTATGAATTAAGAATCAATTGCTGTAAATTATATACTAATGTCACTTAAAGAATGTTAAGTTGCTATTTAAAATGACTTTCCTTCATAATTAGATCTATGTTAATCATAGTTGGTGTTCTCTGAGGAAAAGTGGAAAGAACTGGATGCTTACACCAGAAAAAAGTACATGGAGGGGAATCTTGACTTCCACTTAACAAGTGTCAGCTTCCTTTTCATGGTTTTCAGTTTTTGCTGGCCTGATCTAATTTTAACCCAGGCATATATACCACTCCAAAGAGAAGGCAAAGTTGAACTTACAAGGGTAGAGCAGCACAGACTTCACAACTAAGAAAAAAAGGGAAACGAGTAGGAGCTATTGATTACAGGCAATGAATATTTGGTGTAAAATGAATATGAGTAGTGAGTATAACTTCCCCAATTAATAAGTCAATCTAACTGCAACTGTTTTTCTACTTAGCTGTGAAGCCCATGGTCAGGTATCTCAGGTGTTTTTCAGGCAATCAGAATATAGGAAATTAGAACCAGGAGAAATCAGACAGAATATGTGGCAAGTATAGTCATTGAATGGGAAGACAGATGGTCTTAACCATCAAGTAGCACCTGGAAGATTTACTTGCTCACATAAGATGTTTTTGTTTCTTTAAAGACGAGCACTGGAAAAGTATTCAGCGTGATTGCTTCGTTTGAAAATGATGTGGAAATAACATTATACAAACACGGAGGATTGTTAAACTTTGTGGCACGAAAATCCTCATAGTATCTACTTACCATGGATACCTTTCATAACTAGTAACTGCAAAGCCTTTTGTGCTGGACCCAGGAATCCTTACCATGGAGCTGCAGATAGTCCCATTATACTCACTTCTCTCATCCATGGATGTACATGATGATGAATCAACGTAGTGACTGAAATGAAATCTTCTTGATTTTAAATAATTTACGAATGGTGCTATTAACATTGCTAAAATCAACGTGTGAAGTGTGTTGTGGAAGAGACCTGTAAGTATGGGGGGGGATATTTTATCAGACCATTTTGTAAATAAAGGCAGAATTTGTGTTGAAGATTCTTATATGAATAACCTTCCTGGAGTTGTTTAGTTTTGCACCTATAAAACTGTGTACTACTGTTTGTTGGTTTAAGAGTAGCAGATTGAAATATAAGAAGCCAGATTAGACTCTAAAATTGTGGTCATTGGACTCTGATTTGTAAGTGGACCTTTAAAGTATATTAATTCCTTTTCAGTACTGAGCTGGACACATTTGGCGTTCTGTTTGTCATATACCAGGTTTATCCTTAGTTTAACTGCAAGAGATAGAACCTTCCCCAGGTCACAATCATTCTGTCCAATCCAGCCAAGATTCCTTCCACATGTGAAGATGGACCATGGCAAAATACAACTGATTGTGTGGAAATATGTATCACATATGATGCAGCCTTTAATTTTTCAGCGGTTTGCCGCTGTGACTATCCGGCAAGCCCCAGATGGCATTATATTAATTGGATTAGATTATTTTGCTCACCTATGTAATACTGTAACTTCTTACAACCTAGTATTTTCAGTATCATTAACCAAAATTTCACACTCATAGTTCCTAAAGAGAATGTTATTTAATCATTAAACTCTGAACTGGTTCATTTAAATTATCTACCCTTAATTATACGAGTGGTCAACCCTATGCATTTTTCTATTTCTTGATTATTTAAATTAATTTCCTGTCATTTTGAATCCTTTATCACCTGCGATGCATGACTCTTATTAATTTTGTTATGTTACTGTTTTAACCAAAGCTGACTGTAAGGATAAAACACTTAAATTGTTGCTGAGTACCGTATATCCTCAATATGCATGTCTGCCCATCACATCAACTGTTCTGTCAACAAGATGTTTGGTAATTTTTTTTTTTTTTTTTTTTTTTTTTTTTTTTTTTTGTTTTTTTTTTTTTTTTTTTTTTTTTTTTTTTTTGAGACAGAGTCTTGTTTTGTCACCAGGCGCCAGGCTGGAGTGCAGTGGTGCGATCTCGGCTCACCACAGCCTCCGATTCCGAGTTCAAGCTGTTCTCCTGCCTCAGCCTCCTGAGTAGCTGGGATTACAGGTGCAAACTGCCATGCCCAGCTAATTTTTGTATTTTTTAGTAGAGACGGTGTTTCACCATGTTGGCCAGGATGGTCTTGATCTCTTGACCTCGTGATCCACCCACCTCAGCCTCCCAAAGTGCTGGGATTACAGGCATGAGCCACTGTGCCCGGCTGGCAATTTTTTTTAAAAGGTTGGAAAATTAATTATGGAAGGTTCTATACCGTTGTTTTTTTTTAAACCTAGCAGGCCAAAGGTTAATTGTAGTGATTTGTTTTTCACATGGAGATCTTTCTATGACCTAGTTAAGTTACTGCAATTCAGAATTAATTCACGTTACATAAAGAATTACTTCTTTTAAGCAAATGCTGAAACTACCAAACCAGTGGATGAAGACCGCTGAGAACTTTGACAATCTTTTGAAAATATTTTGCAAATATGTGTTTAGACAATAAGATGGACTCAAATTTGACAAAATGATTTATTTAAATTTTTTATAAGTATTTTCTTTGTTACTTTCAAATTCATTGCATGTGTTTTTAATTTACATGAAAACATGAGTTAGGAGAAATTACAAGTTGAATGATAAAATACCTGTAAATAGTAATTCCAGATTGTGAAGGGGAAACAAATTTATGTTGTTTTGAAAGCATACTTTGTATAAGTTATGGGCAGAGGCACAGGCATCCTCAGCAGCTGATTTAGGAGATGATGGTAAAGCTAGCTAACTACGAATTAAATATTGACATATCCAGTCCACCTAGTCCAGTAATAATACAAGCAAATCTTGTATTTCAGGAACAAATCAAGGTTCTCTTAATTTTTTGGCTTGTATACAATGAGGTGAAACTTGATAACATGGTTTTAAATTAAGGAGGAGAGTCGTGGATATGTGTTTTGATGTGTTTACCTTATAATTTTGCCTCTAGCCATATGCTATGTTTGCAAAATGTGGCATCTGTTAGTTTTCATTGTCTGTATCTTCTTTGTTGACTATATCTGGGTAATTTTGTGTTACCCAAAAAATAAGGAAGCATAATGTGAGACACACAAGAAAAGAAAATCAATGTTGTGAGCTTAAAGTACAATTTCAAAGGTCATTACCAACGCATTTTTTTATACTTTAAAAACATTATGCTACATATTGCCATCTTCATATTTTGCTACTCTTATACAATGAAATCAGTGAAAATGTTCAGCCACTGAATTGCCATTGTTATATCTAAAAAGTTTCTAAGATGACAGTTGTCACTGTTTTCTCCATGCTGACATTTGAAAGAAGATACTGGAAGGTCCTAGAATCTCTCTAGCCAGATTGCTCAGTTTTTCCTTGGTAATCAAATAGCAGTTGTATTAAAGGAAAGTAAAGCTAAGACCTAAATCAGAATCATAGTTGCCTGCATATATGGTAACAATGTTGTGTGCATTTGCGTTCTCAGTGATGAGTAAGAGGATGAGGAGAAATTATTTGACTGACATTTTTTTAGGAGAAGATACTAAGATACTGGATGTTTATTCTGTCTTAGTCTGATTGGAGTAATAAGAGAGAAGAAGAGGATGAACTTTGGCCTTTTCAGTGTTTTTTCCCCTAAAGCGTGATACTGCTGATGTTTCTATCAATTTTACACATAATATGTGGCTATGAAACCATATATCTCACTTAAGTAACTAAAAATCATTGTTTATTATTTAAAGCCAACAAAACAGTATAACAGTTTTAAGTTCAATAATGTTAAGTATTGTATAGAAATATGTTGGAGGCAAAGTTCAGTTGATGACAGTTGTGTATATGTTGCTGATGCTGTAAATTATTTTTAATAAAGAAAATTGTATTATCAAAAAAAAAGACTTTGTCTCAAAAAAAAAAAAAAGTCAAATTTACAATTTGTCATGCTTTTCTTCCTTTCTTTAGGAATTTTGGGAATCCCACATTTCCAGAAGTAAGGTGCTCAGTTGCACTAACCATTCCTATATAAGCTTAATATATAGGAAATGAATGAGTAAAACATGTCTGAAAGATAATTCTATAGAAAGCTAATTATCAGTAATGTTCTTGGCAGTGGGACACCAGTGTGTCAAACCTAGTCTTTGGCAAGCCAGTAAGCAATTTTTCTGCCAAAATCTTGTGACTTGCCATAAGTAGTAACTTAATTGTTTATATAAATTTAGTCATTGAAATGACTCAGCTTTCCAGGATATTAGTTTAGCATTCACTTATGTAGAGCTGAGTTACATACAATTGAGGTTAGATGATTTTATATGCAGTGACATTGTTTGCTGAAGGGTATTTACCTCATTTGTTTCAGACTGTTCATACTGTGCCTTTTAAACAATTTACCACATGTGATTTTAGGGGAATCCTTTCTCAGATCTTCATACTAAGTTCACTAAGTTCTTTTAAGTGTAAGAATGAGAAAAATAAAGGTATTTAGGGATTTATAGAAAGTATTTCTTTATACCAACTAATTATACCTGGGAAAATGAACCACCAAAGCTTGATCAGGTCATATATATATATATATATATATATATAAATGCTTGAGTTTTGGGTTTGATTGTAATGTGAAATGAATTGCTTGATCATGTTTAACAGAAATATATTCCTTAATGCTGAGTGGAAAAGCCTCTAATTGGCACCTTTAGAAATATTTTAAAATCAAAACATGATTTTTTTATGTTTCTTAGAAGAGTACTGTATTTGTATAACTTTTCACAAAAGAAGTTAGCATTTTAGTATTGCTTATTCAAACTATATTTTTACATCTGTTCTTTAAAAATGATGAATTGGAATTTTGCAGGTATATGCAGATACTGGTAGTATTTTTTGGTGATCAATATGGATAAACATATTTATTATAGTTTACAGTGGAATCATTCAAATGGAAGCTTTTTTGCAAGAGACCTGCAGGTCCAAATGCAAGTGTGGAATATGTGTCTGTTGGAGTAAACCCAGTCAAGGAGAAAGACAGAGGGAACCCTGTTTGTGAAGAATTGAGGGAGGCCTGAGATTTTACCTTACTTGCAGCCTAACAAGTTAACTTCCTCCTATATTTCCATGGATGATGGCAGAAGGCAGCACTTCTGGGTCAGAGACAAAGGACTTTATTACTCATAGCACAGCAGGCAGTATGAACTTCATGTTTGTGGCAGCTCTGTTTGTATAGTATTCTCTTGTGGACAACATGGTGGCTGGGTGGGTCTAGGTGGATGTTGCCCATGCAGTGGGTATGCACCACAGTTGAGAAAACCTGAGATTGGGAAATCTCATTTTTTTATAAGGGAACTAGTAAACCTGCCCTGCCTTTGCTTTGAGGGAGACATTATTTTTATTATTCTGCATAGCAAACAAATCTTTCATCTGCTCCAGAAACACTATTGCTATCTTAAAATGCTGTCCACAGATGTCCTGTACAGCTGATAAAAGCTGTCAGTGCAATCTGCTCGTAAGATATGCAGAAACAGGAGAGACCCATAGAGAACTGGCTCCCAGTACTGTTTTTCTTGTTCCTGAAACTCACCAGGACAACACAGACCAATTTTCCTCTTTTTTTTTTTTTCAAGACAGGGTCTTGCCCAGGCTAGAGTGCAGTGGTGCAAACATAGCTCACTGGAGCCTCAATCTCTTGGGCCAAAGCAATCCTTTGGCCTCAGTCTCCTGAGAAGCTGGCATCACAGGTGTGCACCACCACACCTGGCTAATTTTTGTATTTTTTGTTGTTGTTATTATTGTTAAGATGGGGTCTTGCTGTGCTGCTCAGGCTGGTCTCAAACTCCCGGGCTCAAGTAATCCTCTCACTTCAGCCTCTCCAGGTGCTGATATTACAGGTGGGAACTACCATGTCTGGTCCCAGTTTTCCTCTTATTTCTTCATTCAGTCTATGGGGAGCTCGAGCTTTGTATTTGTTTTGTTTTTGCTTGAAGAACAAAATGGTAACTAAGACCTGGATTTGGGTGCTTAGTATGGAAGGAATAAATGGACATTGTCCC